GGTTACCAGGGGAGAAAGAGGGTGAGGAGGGATAAATCGGGAGTTTGGGATTTGCAGATACTAACTACTATCTATAAAATGAACACCGTGGTCCTACTGTACAGCACAGGGAACTATAGTCTATATCTTGCAGGAACTTACGGTGAAAAAGAATATGAAAACGAATATATGCGTGCTCATGTAAGACTGAAGTATTACACTGTACACCAGAAATTGACACAACATTACAAACTGACTATATGTCAATAAAAATACATATATACTGAAAAAAAGAACTTTGGCCTTATTCCCTCCGAGGCCTCAACCTGCTCCAGAATTCCTTGGTCCTGGATGAGGTGCATATAGAAAGCAGAACCCCAACAGTTCAGATGCAGGCTGCTCCTGCACTCAGAAGGGAGGGGGCCAGGGAGCTTGGCACCCCCAAACCCTGGGGTCCATTTTTCTAGAAAACAGGAGTCAGTCTGAAAAGCGCTACTGTACATCAATAAGGATACAGGTGCCATCAGTTTGGGTACCTGCGGCTCCTTCCTCCGGATGGATCTTCTAGGATCCCTGGCAGAGCTCAGGGCCGCTGCGCCCTGCACGCCCCCTGCGCCCTGCACGCCCCTTGGCATCCCCAGAGGGCACGGATCCTCACCAGAAGAGCCTGAGTCCCCGCACCAGGTGAGGCCGTCGGCCACGTAACCCAGCAGCGTGTTCTCCAGCGTGAACATCTCCTGCCGGACCCATGTGTACTGATGCGCCAGCTCCTTTGTTCTGCTCCAAAAGACCGTCTGAGAGAGAATGAACACCATCTATTGTTGAGATCATCTGTCATCTAGTATCCATTTACTAAGTCAAAAAAAAATCAAATCCACATCTTTTTAAACAATGGAAAACGTAAGAGTAAATCACCTACAGTAAGGGTAAGTGTTGTTGAGTGAATTACTGCTTTGTGTGTGTGTGTGCGCGTGCACGCGTTCTCTAGGTCACAATGTAAAACGAATGTATTATTCAGGATGGCAGGGGAAAAAGTCTGAAAGCCCCTGATCAAAATCCTACAATAAATCTAAGCTCAAACACATCTAGGGGAGGCATTAGGAAGTTCCAAACTTCCTAAAGTTATCTGCCAAAGAATTTTGTCTATGTGCTACTTTCTGGGAAGTGCTTTTGATTCTTAAAGAGCTCCATAATCCCAGCTTTCCCCTCAAAACTCCCCCATCGCCATACAAAACAGGAATCGAACACATACAGTGAGTTTTTTCAGGGTCCCTTGTAACGGCATAGAAAGTCAAATTTCAGAACAATCTTCTGTCTCATGGATCTATTCACTCCTCATAGGAGGCAGTGGAGGCTACGGTTAAAAGCCTGGGTCCTGGAGTCACGCTGACTTAAGAAATGGCATCACTGCTTACTAGCCGTCTGACCTTGGGCAACCACAGAGTTGCTAAGCCTCACTTTCCCCATCTGTGAAATGGTATCGATAATCATTGCAAGGAACTCCTGAGATGCTGAGATGAAATGAGACAATGCAAATAAAGTGCGTGTCTGTGTCACGGTCACTTATTCGACCAGTGTCCCTGGGTGATGCTTTGCCCAGCGGCTCCTCTGTGAGACCTTGTGCTCAGCGCACCAGCCACAGCTCCAGCTCAGTAGCTCCAGCTCTAACGACGGGAGGAGACGCTGTCATTTGTGGCTGGCCCAAGGGCTTCGTAAAGATGATTTGAGGCACATTGAATTTTCACCTCAAATGCTGACTTTAGAAAACATGTACTCTGTTACAGACCTTCTCCAGTATAACTAATGTATTAGAACCCAGGACTCTCTGGCTCTAAATCTTGAGCGATTTACATTTCAGCTGGTCACTTTCCAGACGATCAAACGTGAGAAATTGTGAAGGAAAAGCCCAGCTGGGCTAACAAGCTAAGTCACAAATCTAAGTGCAACAAGTGTCGGATTACTGATCTGAGTTCTGCTGGGCTAACTCATAAATGTGAAGTTTAGTGTCAGTCTATTGGGCTAACGAGCTAAGTCACAAATCTAAGTGTAATAAGTGTCGGTTTACTGATATAAGTTCTGCCAGGCTAATTTGTGAATCTAAAGTTATTGTCAGTTTACTGGGCTAACAAGCTAACTCATAAATCCAAGCTCAACAAGTGTCAGTAACGTGATCTGTTCCAAATTGATAAGCTCCAGTGTACTGATTCCTTGCTTTTTGTTGTTTGAACCTCATTGGCTAATAGCCCATACTTGTAATTAACCCTATAAAACCTCATGTGCACGTCTTGGAGGTGCTCAGAGCTTCGGAGCAGAAGCCCCTCTGAGCCCGCCTGCGTAATACATCTGAGTACTCCAACCCTCCGAGTGGTGCTTGTTCCTTGGCTGGCCTGTCATTTCCGTAACAAAATCACTGGTCACCTAAACTCTCCAAGCCTCGGTTTTTTCACTGGTGAAATGAGGATGCTGATAGCTGACCTGCCTGTTCCACGGGTTGACTGTGAAAACCTAACAGGAGAGTCCTTTGTAAGCAAAAAAGGCACTTAGCAAAGGCAAAATGGCATCGTTGTCACCATCACCATCATCATCACCACCAGAGACCAGGGAGGGTTTTGCAGTTATATAAGGTGGGTTATTTTTGTTTGGGTTGGATTGGGTTTTGTCTGATTTTTGGTCGACTCGCCTTCCCTCTTTCCATGTCCCCAATTCTCTCTCTTACCTCCCGTCTGCAGATGTCCTAAATCCTGATGACATCTGGTCTCCCCATGGCCTCAGCCTGACCTCGACTCCTGCCAACCATGCCTACATCCTAATACCCAAATTTTCCTCCTTCTTCATTCTGGTCAAAATTCAGTCCCATGACCTCTTCCCTCTGGCTTTTATCTTCAGTTTTAAATCCATAATTTGACCCAGTTACCTTGTCACAAGGCACAGTTTGACTCGTCAGCTCCATCAGTGGGTGGTAGTCTTCCTCTGTCACCTCGCAGGGGTCCTTAAAAATAAATGCATTCCTGAAGGTCTCCTCGATCTTTTTGCAATCTCTATCTCTGAGAGATAAAACATGGGAAGTAAAAATGAGTAATTTGGTTTCAAACGTATGTTTAGAACATAACTATCCAAAAAGAATCTCATTGAAGAAGCACCCACTGTGTGCCAAGTAGTTCATACACATCATCTCATCCAGTGCGTGCAGCATTTTTATGAGATGAGCATCACCCTCCCTGCCCTACAAGGTCCTTGCCCTCACGGGGCTCACACTCTGGTTAGAGAGGCAGACAGTATACAGACTAGCAAATACATTAACAAAGTAAGTACGGATTATGATGAGAATGCAGGAAATCAGTGGGGAATATTGAAGCAATGACCACTTTAGGGACGCTGGTCAGGAGAGGGCTCCCGGAGACTAAACATTGACAGGGTGTGCTTTTCAGAGAGAGGGCTGCAAGTGCAAAGGCCCTGAGGCAGAAAAGAGCTTGCTGATTTTGAGGAAGTGAAAGAAGAACGGGGAGGGTGGGGGGTGGGCAGTGGTGAGAAATCAAGTCAGGAAAATAACTGATAGGCAGATCCCTCAGGTCTTTCAGACCAAGGAAACAATTTCAGATTTTGCCCTAATTACCATGGGAAACCAGTGGATGGTTTTAAGCATGAATGTGGCCTCAGCTTTTTTGTGGTTTTGAAGAATCACTCTGAAAAACTCTGTGCTAGCCCCAAAGATGGAGAAAAGTCTCTGAAGCAGAAATTTCAGATCTATGTCCCTTTCCAATAGCTCCTGGCAGTGAGAAGGCAGGCAGGCCAAGCAGAAGAGACTGAGGAGAGGGAGGGGAGCCAGGGCAGATTGCAGCCAGAACTTCCTTTGTGTTTGTGTTAACAAGTGCACATGAGCCCATCACTTCTAGGGGAAAGGAGGTGGGCTTCCACTGGGAGAGCTCAGGTAGCATCAATACCGGGACAAACTCCAGCCTTTGGACCCAGCACCCTAGGACAGCATCCTAAGGATGGGTCAGGCAGCCTGACTTGGGGGCGTGAACACAAGCCCCGAGTTTTCTATCCCTCTGAGCCCTACCCCAGCAGTGCACATGCAAAGCAGTTTTCCAGAGGGTCTTCTGGAAGCCCTCCTGACTCAGAAGGGCCAAGTCGAGTGGATTATTCCTCCTGATAAGCCAAGAAATCACAGACTATCAGTGAGGTCACAGGCCCTCACAAGGAAACCACCCTATGCACCTGCTGTTTTTGGGACAGGAAACAAGGGAAAGCCATTTTGTTGAGGACAAGGAGGGAGGCCCTTGGGTTAGGCTGCCTATCTCAACACTGGCTCCGCCTCTTACACTGTGCATCCCTGAGAAAACCACTCAACCTCTCCCTGCCTCTCTTTCCTCATCCAGAAAGTATCTGCTGAACTCAGATGTCCTGGGATTAAATAAAGCACATGTTAAATGCTTTCAGAACAGTGCTCTGCACAGAATAAGGGTCCAGTCAATATCAGCATTATATTTCCTTCCTTTCTTTTTGTGCCCCTTGCTCAGACCTTCCTGGCTGTGAGCAGACATCCCCAGCCAGCAGAGGCAGTCGTGGCCTGTGGCTCATGGGTTAACCTTGAACATGGCTTATCCTCACAGGGTCCTGAAGGACACATATGGTCGATACATCCCACACCTGGGGTGGTGGGAACACACAGGTGCTCGGGGTCGGGTCTAGGGCACATACACAGGCTAGAGGTTAGCACCCCGCTTGTCCCCTTGTCCAAAAGCAACATGTGTTTCTCCTTGCTCTCAGTTTTGTATGGGCACCCATCCTCACTTTAGTAAAAATCAGCTTAGAAAATGTAACAGTTTCAATGTAAAACAGCCGCAGGACAAAATTCCAGACCAGTCACCCACTTGCTTGGTGAGCTGAAGTAATAACAGCAACAGTGACAGGCAGCATTTATCAAGGGCTGCGTATATGTGTCACGTACACATTTCATTTAACCTCATACAACTTCTATGAACAAGTATATCAGGATTTGATCTGAGTTAATAAGACCTATAACTGCAGATAGAATTTTATTTTTCTCTCACATATGAATCTAGAGGTCAGTACCTGGAACTGGCAAGACATTCCACATTGTTGGAGACCCATCTGCTCAGTCCAAAATAGCTGCTCCAGTTCCAGCCATCATGACTACATTCCAGCCAGTAGGAAAGGTTAGAGAAAAGAAAGGGGATGAGAAAGGAGAAGGAAGAGGAAGGAAAAGTAGCAGCAGCAGTGGACACCTGCCAGCTGCCTTGTAAGAACAGGTACTAGAAAATGTTTATTATTTGCTCTTGTCTTAATTGCCAAAATGTAGTCATAGGGGCACACTTCGCTACAGAGGAAGATGAGAAATGCAGCCTTTAATCTTGATGGCCATTCCACTTCTAAAAGCATGATTTTACTATAAGAAGATATTACCTCACACCTGTTGGAATGGCTATCAACAAAAAGAACACAAATAACAATGTGGGTGAAGATGTGGAGAAAAGGGAACCCTCATACACTGTTGGAGGGAATGTAAATTGGTGCAGCCACTGTGGAAAACAGTGTGGAGTTTTACTCAAAAAACTAAAACTAGAACTACCATATGACCCAGCAATTTCACTCCTGGTATATTTCCAAAAAAGTAAAAAACACAAAAATTCTAATTCGAAAAGATACATGCACCCTAATGTTCATAACAGCATTGCTTATAATTGCCAAGATATGGAAACAACTTCATTGACTGATGAATGGATAAAGAAGATGTGGTATGTATATTCAATGGAATACTACTCAGCCATAAAAAGAACAAAATTTGGCCATTTGCAGCAACATGGATGGACTTGGAGGGCATTGTGCTAAGTGAAATAAGTCAGAGAGAGAAAGACAAATACTGTATGATATCACTTATATGTGGAATCTAAAAAATACATCACATTAGTGAATGTAACAAAAAGAAGCAGACTCACAGATAAAGAGAACAAACTAGTGGTCCCAGTGGGGAAGTGGGGAAAAGGCAATACTGGGGTGAGGAAGGGGGAAGTGAAAACTATTGGGTGCAAGATAGGCTCAGGGATGTATTGTTCAGCACAGGGAATATAGCAAAAATTTTGTAATTACTGTAAATGGAAAGTAACCTTTAAAAATAGTATACTTTTTTTATTCGTTAAAAACAAAAAATTCAAAAATAAAATAAAAGCACAGTTTTAATTCTAGAGACGGGGCCAGGCTGCAGGCTCTGTCAGAGGTAGATATCACCATTGCCCCATTTTAGCCACAAAGAGGAAACTTTAAGGCTGTGAATTTAACCAAGGTGCCTAAGGTCGCATGATGAGTAAGTGGTGAAGCGGGACTGGACCCCAGGTCGGTGACAGCCTGGTGGCCAGATGCCCACAGCACTGCTACACACCGCCCCATCCTCCTGTCTTCACCTGTAAGATGGAGATAGTAACACTTCATGCCCTGGCAGCTTTCCAGGATTAAATGAGATAACATGTGACATGCCCCTGGCCCCCGGGAGGGGAGGCCTCTTTCATGGAGGCCCCTCTGCTTCCCCAACCTGCACAGGACACTTCAACTGTATCCCAGCTCACCTGTAAAACTGGGCCGAGAAACCAATGTCCCCCTGGAGCCACCCATACATTACAGACTTAAGGGAAAACCGTCATTGCATTATGAGCTTCAAAACCCATCAACATTTATGGGCCACCGTTATGGGACATTTAGAAGAAAGGTGTTTATCGGCTATTTCACTTTAGGGGATCATGTAATTAAATTCCATTAATGTAATGCATTACTGAGGGCTTTCCTGTTGTCAGCCCACCTCCCTCGTGCAGTCTTAGGCCTCTGTCCTCAGCAGCAAAGGGTGGAGAAGGAGAGACGTCTTCCTGAGATGAAGGACAAGGGAATGCCCCACCACGAAAGATCTGGCTGTTAAGAGAAATAGCCATGCCGTATACCCACCACGTACCGGATGCTTTCATCACCAAAAACCAGAGTCTCGTGGAGAACTCACAAACCTCCAAAATTTTTTATGCTTTGTAGGTATGTGAAGGATAAATACTGCCAACCGTATCAGTAAACAAAGAATGCTGAAGCCATCAAGTCCTCAGCGGCTGCCGCCACCCCCTAGTGAGGACAAGCCTGCAGCCCAGCCTCTGCAGCCACTCACAGTGGTGCACCCTGAGGAGACTCAGAATAAGAAAGGACAGGACACTGGCCCTAGATAGCTGGGTGCTTGTCAAAGGAATGAATTCAGTGAGCCCAAATGTTTGCTCCCTCCCAGACATAGAAAAGCGCTAAATTCTCTAACTTGAGATGCATGGTTTTCTTTAGTTAACAAGTAAGCTTTTAATGTTCCAACTACCTGGTCTCTGTTGTAAAGCTCCTAT